CCCAAGGACACAACAACCGAGACTGTCCAAGCCGGGGCTCGAACCGGCAACCTTCCGATTACAAGGTGAACTCCCAACTCTTGAGCCATGATCGCCCCTATACATTTTCAAAAAATGTCTCTCTGTGGGTTCAAAATGGGTTCAAAAACATAAACAACTATGGGATACTGTTCGTCCGTGATTTAGACAGGGGGAATTTTCTCCCCCTTTTCATACTGCGCCCCCCCCCTAGGGGGCGGGCCCCACACTTTGGGAAGGTCTGCCCTAGACAAACGCTACACAGTGCCGTCCGGCAACTATTTAAAAAATGTTGCACTACCTGCTCTAAACACGCAGTGTCGAGCAACGGTGGAGATGGGATTATAAGCAGTACAACATTTTTTTATGTTCAGTTTCAACTGTTACGAAGTTGATGTGCAGTTAATAAGTGCAAGAAATATTTATGATTCTCATTTTATGCAAAATCATGCAGCCCTACTATGAATATAAACAAGCACAACAAGCATATAATTTAATATAGTAAAATGCAAAACATAATATGAAAAAAAAAAACTTAAAAACTAAAGAAAAGAAAGGGACACAGTGCTCTGTGCTCATCACAGCTGAACCAGCAATACTGGCTGGTTGCTACATTTTATATATGACTTTTAAAAGAGAATTTCCCTGGAAATATACATGTATGGCATGAACTACATGGCACTACTATCTCTATAAAATGTGGGTAAATTTAATTCAGTGTGTCAGGTATAATCTTTCCAGTTTTTCTCTTGCCTCTTATATTTTATTCTATAAAACGATTTCAGGCAAACAATTGGTTAAAAATTGTGAAACATGATTAATTAATAATTCATTGTTAATCATAGGTAATATATATCAAGTTAGTTAAGTTTAAGTTCATGTAATCAAGTTAGTTAAGTTTAAGTTCATGTAATAAATTGGTCATTGTCATGTACAAGTCCAATCCTTTTAAGGTTAAACTTTAATTTTTAATTTGTGATTTACAGTCTCTGATCTTAACCTCAGTGATTATAGGCCGATCTCCAACCTTCCTTGTATCTAAAAAATTCTTATAACAGCAGTCGTAAAACAGCTAACTGATAATCTGCAGAGGACTGCTTTTACTGAGCTTCACTGAGCTTTCAGAGCTCATCACAGCACAGAAACAGCTGTAGTGAAAGTTACAATTTATCTTCTCATGGCCTCTGACAGTGGACTCATCTCTGTGCTTGTCCTGCTAGACCTCAGTGCAGCGTTCGATACTGTTGACCATAATATTCTATTAAAGTGATTAGAGCACGCTGTGGGTATTACAGGTACTGCACTGCAGTGGTTTGAATCATATCCATCCAATAGAGTTTGTTCATGTAAATGGAGAGACTTCTTCACACACTAAGGTTAATTATGGGGTTCCACAGGGTTCCATGCAAGGACCAATTCTGATTATACATGTTTCCCTTAGGCAGTATCATTTGAAGGCATAGCATACATTTTCATTGCTATGCAGATAATACCCTGCTTTTATATCTACGAAGCCATTGGTGAACACACACCAATCAGTTAAACTGCAGAAATATCTTAAAGACATAAAGACCTGGACGACCTCTAATTTCCTGCTTGTAAATTCAAATATTGTACTCGGCCTTGAAAATTGTAGAAATACGGCATCTAATCACATGTGTACTCTGGATGGCATTACCTTGGCCTCCAGTAACACCGTGAGGAACCTTGCAGTCATAATTGACCAGGACATGTCCTTCAATGCACATATTAAACAAATATAGGACTGCTTTCTTCCATTCGCGCAACATCTCTAAAGTTTGAATTATCCTTTCTCAGAGTGATGCTGAAAAACTAGTTCATGCATTTATCACTTCTAGCCTAGACTACTGTAATTCATTATTATCAGGCGGTCCTAAGATTCCTTTAAAAGCCTTCAGTTGATCCAAAATGCTGCGTAAAGAACGAGCATATTTTGCCAATATTTTTTTCTCTAGCTCTCTTCATTGGCTCCCTGTTAAATCCAGAATCGAATCTAAACTCCCTTTCCTCACATACAAGGTCTTGAATAATCAGGCCTCATATTAAATTAATGACCAAATAGTAACTCAATAGAGCTCTTCACTCTCAAACTGCTGGTTTACTGGTGTCTTCTAGGATATTTAAAGGTTGAATGGGAGGTAGCTTTCAGGCCCCTCTTCTGTGGAACCTGCTTACAGTTTGGATTCAGGACACAGAGACAAGGGTAAACCAACAAACCAACCAGGCAGGTTGGTCTAAACTAGGAAGCAGGATTTCACAAATTTAGCACACTCCTGGGTTACCCCTAGATTTTCTGATGACTGTCTATAATTAGAAATCATCAAATGAATATGTAATTTAGCTTGACCCTTAAATGACCCTTAGAATCTGGACTCTTTTTACCCTAAGGAAAAAAATGCCACCTTCCAAAAACTGCAGTAAAATTATGGTAATTTTTTTTCCATTTTAAAAGACCCATAGTTTAAAGGCCAGTATGTTTACATAGCTCCACAGTCAATAATTGGTAACAGCATTGATTTATTTTTTCTTTAAAAAAACAAAAACAAACTGACACTCCTGATCCTAACGACAAAAAATGACAGGTTCCCGAAAACTGCTGCAAAAATACTGTGTAGTAATAATTTCTTCTATTTTAAATCATTATGTATTTTAAAGCTAGTTGGTAGCATGGTGTGCAGGTATATATTGGATGCTTAGAATTTTGTGTTGCTTAACCATTTTAAGCTAATTTCAGGAACTGAGGGAGCAGTTATCCTCTGGCAAATGTGAGCTTTATTCATCCTGGGCAGCCAAAAATAGCATGAAAATTTAAAAAAAACAACCCTGAGTGGCACGAAATGTTCCCAGAATTATCTAAGGGTTAAATAAGTTTTCTTTCAGTTTCTCTGAGTTCAGTATTCGGTTAGTTTTGTGTCTGATAACTGTTAAGTTGAAGTAATTGTTTGTTGTTGTATAATTTGTTAGTGGTTGTTCCTCCTTGTGTCTTGTTTGATTGGTCAGCTTTTGGTTCTGTTGGTTGGAGTTATTTTTATGTTCCTGTTCCTGGGCCCTGTATTATGCATTGATGATTGTGCGACTTATTTATATTATTTATATTCATTCATAATTTATTATTTATTTTACTAAAACTCAATTCCTATGACATTCCTGGACAAACATAGACACACAAAAACATTTTCAACATACAGTTAGGTTTATAAGTTTTGGGGCAATGACACTTTTTTCTACATTTTATTGCTATTGTATGCAACACCACTGTGGATTTTATTTCAAATAGGGCAGTAAAATGCAGACTTTCAGCTTTAATTGATAAGGTTTAACAAAAGTACTTCACTGACAGTTTAAAAATTACATCTGTTTTTATAAACAGGCCTCTGAGGCTTGAAAGGAATTAGACAGTTGACTGATAAGCAGCTTCATGGCCAGGTGAGACCAATTCCTTCATTATTTCATGACAAAATTAAAATCAACTCCAAATTAAAAAATGAAAAAAAAGGTGATTCCAAGTGTTGAACTTGCGTCTGGCTGTTAACAGGAACTTTCAATACAAGGTTAAAAGAGATTTTGAATAAGTGGTTGGTTTGAAAAAACAAAATAAATATCAGAGAGATAGAAAAACCTTCAGAAGTGTCTAAATCTACAATATAGTTCATTTTAAAAAGAAATTGGCTACATTTGAAACACCAAAAGACCGAGAAGAGCACAGAAAACTTTGCCATAAAACATCTAAAAGACTCTGTCCAGAGTCTGCCAGCAATGCGATATTCTTTAAGTTAGTCACCTGATTTCAAGCCAACAGAGCATGGGAACACAGCATGTATTGTTGGGTTCTAGGTTTCACACTGTCATTGACAGCAATCCTTATATTTAAAATTATGTGAGGGGAATTTTGTCCAGTTACTGCTGAAAATGGGAGACTAGTATGCAAAAAAAATCTTTCATTAATAGTTAAAGCAATTCTTTTCCTAAGCTGTTTAAATAAAAGTGGAAAGTCAGCATTTCAAAGACGTATCGATTGTTTGCTTCATAATCCACAGTGATGGTATACACAGAGAAAATTACACAGAAAAGCCTCATTAACAGAACACTTATGGACCTTACTGTAGCTTTCACATGCATCTACACCCAGTCACAAACATGCACTCATACGTACACTTACATATAGTTGTGAGTAATCCTGAGCACTTTTTTAACAACTCTTCACTAAGCTTCTGTCTAAAAAGAAGGGAAGTTCACCAACTCCTACATTTATCCATAGCAACTTGTGTAAGGCTCCATTTCAGTTTAAATCATCATGACCATAAGATACTGAGGCAGAGAAGGTGAAGATTTAATTAACACTGAATATGTGTTTTTTAATGAAATTCTGTGCACCAATATTTCCGGATCAAAGGTGTGTGGACCCAAATGACTTTGAGCTGAGAGTTTGCGAAGAACGAAGAATCAGCCTTAAATAGTTGTTCAAACTGTATTTGATTGGTTTGCTTAAGAGAGAGGCAGGTGGGGTGATCCTTGCTTTCGGTTATAACCCCCCGATCAGTTTTAATAATTACTCTTTTGGTGGCGAGCCAGTCCTACTTTATTTTCTTTTAAGTTCATATTTTGAGCATAAAAAACCTTGATCAATTAAGTATTATTAGGTAGTTAAGATCATAGCATTGGCAGCATAATATACATATAAAATAATACAATACACCCTTTGGTTTCAGCACAACTAAAAAATGTTTACTCGGGTGTGCAATACTTTATTTGGTTGCATGATCAAACAAACATAAATCTGTCAGTCATGTTACCTTCAGTACAATAGTTATTCTTTTCCATTTCCAGGATATGTGTAATTAAAAATCACATCAGATAAGGCTGCTGGATTCTATTACTGTACATATCAACTCCCTCAAAAAGTCAAACTTTATCATCTAAAGAATGTTTCACGGTTGGTTTTCATGTTAAAATTCAATCCATAACAAACTTTCCTTCGATATATTTGAGAAAATTAAAATTACATATCTTAGCTGAAAGCTGGAACATGAATTCCTAATCAGAGTAAAATGTAGCTTAATTCATAATAGTGTCCTTGCTGAGTTAGATAACATGAAAACGCTGCACAGCTTGCGCCTTGCAAATTTGCTTCAAGCTCTGAACCAAAACATTCACTCAGTAAAAGGCAGACAGTTTAAGAGATTTTAATGTGCTTTTTCATACAGTATATTGTATGCATATCCAGCATGGCATTTCTCATACATATAACTCTCTTATATCCAGGGTTTAAATGTAGAGCTGAGAGGATGATTAACAGTCAGTCTACCATAACATTACGTTTGCCATACAGCGATGGCACTGTTCGGCTGCCTCAGAGGCTTACTTTGTACTCGAAGGGCATAATACTGATTCCAGCTGTTTGTAACCAAGCCTCCAACTTCAGAAAGAAATGACACTAAGAAACAAATATCTAAAAACAATAAGTCTGCTGGGGTTGAGTACAATATTTACAGAAAACAAAAGAAAACAAAGAAAAACAGAACAAATACAAAGTTGGAAAAGACGTCAGTGAAATCAGCCACATCCTAATCATCCATAAGTCTGAATATACATGATTTAAATCCACAATTCACAGCTGTTTAGAGGCAAAAAAAACTGTCCCCTGCTTTTTTTTAACAGGATCAGTATGACTATCATTTCCATCATTATCATTTTACTCATCAGTGTCTCTTTTATTCTCTATTTAGTCTCGTTTACTTTATCCAAAGTAAGGGTGATCGCTTTGGAAGTTGTAGTCTGGACACACTTTCTGAACCAGCTTATAATCAATGCTGAAGAAAGAGATGAAGATGCAGATCACCTTGAAAGGTTTAGCACAAAGCCAAGCAGCGTGGGACTGGGTGTGCTCTGTGAAGCAGGTCTGAGACGGATCATACAGGCAGGGTTTGGATTTCTTGGATCTGTTGGTTTTCTCGTACTCGACCCGACAGTTTAAGGTCTTTGCCTCTTTTGGATCGATGGTGGACTGCTGTGTCTCCTGGATCTGGACGTCCTGCTGGGTGTGGGGGTGCAGATGATGCTGCTGAAGGACCTCAAACTCAACCACTTTGGTTGGTGGCACGATACTGACCGACACATTCCCCAGGCTGGAGGAGTTGTGGCGAAAATAAACAGTAAAAGTCCCATTGATGTGGTCCACAATCTTCCCTGTCACCAACAGGCTGAACTTCACGGTCTTGACATTGAAGTAGAAGTCCCCCCAGCCAAAGATTTTCTTGGTCTTCATGGCTGTCTTTAGTGCAGGTTTACGCTTGGAGCGGTAGCCTGTCTGATCCACTAGCAGGGACTGGTTCCGGGCCAGCTCATAAGGGCTATAGGAACTGTACGGGGGTGGCTTGGATTTCACCGGTGTCTGATCGATCGGTGTGGAGAAGATGGTTTGGTACGGCGGCTTAACTACTCCTCCAACGGTGCCTCCGCCCATGCCGTATGGAAGAGTCTTCATCACCGCCCCCACCGGGCCCAGATCTGAGAAGTCCACTTGCCTCTCCAACCCTTGGACCTGCAGAAGAGACAGAAAGAACAATCAAATTTTACTGACAGTGTAACTGACAATGCTGCACTTTGCCTTTTCATGTCTTTTTCTACCAGACAGACCTTTCAAAAACACAACAGCATCCATCCATCCATCCATCCATTTAACCCAGCTCCTACTACCATAGTTCCAAGTTTTTAGGAATTGTAATTCATTCTTACAAATGCTACTCACTCATATCTATATTTTCATGTCTCAAACTATAATGCCAAGCTCCGCATATACCGAGAATGTTTTCAGTTTGAAGTTAGATTTAGTTTTACTGCATGTTTGCCTAAAAACCAAAAACCTTTTAGCTATTCTTTGTCAAGAACAGCATCCTGTAAAATAGGACTCCATTCATATTAGATGAGTGCCAAACAGCTGATTGATTGAGAAACTGATCAAGTGTCAGGACCCCACTAAAAAATGTCAAATTGAAAGTGATTTGGAGGGGATTCAGTCTGGGAAGGATAAGTATTTACAGTCTTGGAGCAGTTATTGGATTTGGTGCATTTCTCAGAGGTATTTAATATTAACTAGTGGCTGCCACATCACTCCTGTTCCCTGTGCTGGCTAAATGCTACAATATAGAACTCTAAGTATGGAACCAACGGCTTGCAACTAGTCCTCGGCTGACTTTGTATCTTCATTTTTAAAGAGGTAAAGACAGAGATCAGAGGTGCTACAGTTTATTCTTTGTTCTGTCAAATGAAAAGTAAATACACATAATGTGATATAATTCAAATGTGTCCAATTTCAATTTGCACTCGTTGTTAAAATTATAAATATTTCAAAGGTCACTCTTTGGTAGCATTCATGTTTACCTCCCACAAGTTTTCTTTTTCCACGAGCATCCTAGTTGTTAGATGTTGCTACGTTTCATGTCCTGAATTCAAGAGAAAAAATAGATCTATTTTTGTTAACACACTTTAATTTTGTTGTCAGTGTTGCCACAGAGAGCAAAACAACTCTACATGTAAGGTAATGGATGTGAGCCTTTGTTTGTGCAGACAGCTTTCTGCCTTTAATCCACAGCCTAGGTGGTTATTCACAGGGCTGATTGACTAGAAATCTTGCTCTGCTCTCTTATATGTCTCATCAATCACATCACTGCCATGCTCCTATCCATATGCACATATGTACACACACACACACACACACACACACACACACACACACAGACTTTGAGCTTGAAGCTGTCATGAAGTGACAGTGCCAAGTATTACAACTATTCAGAGGGGTTACATGCGCTTCCCCTGAGGCTGCATTTGGATGGAGTTTAAAAAACTATTCTCCCAGTTGATAAACAACACCAACCCAAAAAACAGAAGTACAGGATCACATCTTTGTGTCTAGTTAGGTTGGGACATTTTCTGTCTTCCTTCATTCGTATCCAATGCAGTGGAACCAGCAGCTTTATGCCTGCCTCATCTTTCATCAACCTCCGACCTAAAAACAACTACATATTGCTGCAGATGCAAAACAATAGCACTTATATAGATTCTGATATATTCCATGCTTGAGGCTGTTGTGATTTGGTGATATATATATAATTGAATTAAACTGAAATGAATTTAATTAACATGCCCGCAGAGCTGATTTTTAAGTAGATTGATTGAAGAGCAAATAAACGGTAGTGTATCGACTGCTCCAGGATCAACTTATAAAAGAAGAAAGCTTTAGATGAATGACCAGTGACTGGGATAATGTCTAACTGCAGATTTTCAACAGACCCCAATTCCCTCTGGTGCACTGACAGCAGGCATGTGCAGAGGTCTTGCAATTTTAAGTCTGTGAATAGATGATGTGAGCTGACTTTGGCATTGACAGGTAGAAACAAGCTACAGTTGATGGCAGAAAAACATCAGAATATGTACAGCAACAAAGCCTGTGTACAGTGCATGCAATATGGGGACTTCCTGTGAATGCGCTGTCAGCAGTGCTGTCAGCTAACTCCATGTGTTGCCATCTGTCAGGCTAACACTCTGCTGGTGCAGTCCTAATCATTACTCAAGCTTGTGGCCCAGAGTTTAAACAAGCACAATCATCATAATCCAGAAACTTCAGCGGCAACATCTCACCATGAACCTCAACCTAACCTTCAGGGTCAGCTGTACGAAGTTTTAAAGTGATTTTATGCTGGGGGGGGGGCTGAGGCTGACATAAGTCCTTCTGAAGGGGGAAAAGCAACTGTACATAGTCAGCAACTTTAACAAGTGTCGATCGAGTGAAAAAGATGAGTACAGAGAAAGGCCCTCTTCTTCTGTGGCATGAAAATAATAAAATGCCAACACAAACCAATAAATAGATGGACTTTTTATTAGCATGAATATGGAATTTTTTGTGCTTGACAGTAAATCAATTTAAAGGGTGAGGATATGTTAGAATAAATATCAGATATTTTCTCTTGACATGAAATCCATAAGCTATAGACTTTTTGAAACAGCAGATGTTTGCTATAAGGTCATATCAGGCTGCCGCACTCAGTGAAAGATTTGAGAAATAAACCTTCATGCTTTTCTTCCTCCTCAGTGCCTATTCAGTTAAGTTACAATGAGTCAGAAGTAACTTTTAGAGCAATAGCCAGAGGGGCACTGCTGAAGTGATGAAGAGGTGCTGAAGCTAAAAGCACACAGGTGCGCACACACAACTAAAAAGTAGTCACTCTTTCAGCTTATGATTTCGATTTGAAAGGAACTTAGAGTTGTAAGTGGTAGCCAACCCTGGGTAAATTATATAGTTTGTGATTTTTTTCATTGAAAAGATGTTTTTGCAAATGTTTCAGTGGACAGACCTTGAAAATCAGCTTTTCTTCTTTACCTTTTTAGTTTTTTTTGTCGGGAACTCACAAAATAGTTGTCAGGTCATAAGTAACTCATAAGTAAGGCCAGAGAATGGCATTATTAGCCACCTGGCAATTTTAGAACTTTGTGGGTTGACCAGGTATCAGCAAATTATGGATTTCAATGTCAGAAAAGAAAGTGAAACTCCCACAAGAAGACAATAACCCCTAGCAGACTAGAAAATCCACCAAAAATACCTCAAGAAATGCAAGCTGAAGCTTTTGAAGTGGTCGTCAACGTCAACTGACTTAAACATGACTAAAAATCTGTGGGAAGAACTCTGTGAAAGACCGAAAAGATATCTCTTGAAACCGAGAAGATGAAAACTCCTTAAATCAAGAACTGAATGACTCAAAGCCAGTTACATATGTGTGTGTGTATCTATCTATATCTATCTATTTATATATCTATAAGTTTTGTTAATCATTCTTTAACAATTCCTTGTTAAAGATTGCCAACAATTGCAACGACAACCACCACCCAATGTAAGGGTTATGCTACAGCATCCCTAAATTAACAGTATTCGTAATTACCGAAATACAACGGTAATGGTAAATCCACCACAATGCATGAGTTCTTTAATCCAAATTATATTTTTAATACTAGAATATAATTAGTGTGTTTAGCTTTGAATTTTCAAATGTACAGTTTTACAGAAAAAACAAAAAACCCCAGAAAAAAATAGTTATTGTTTGATTAAGATCCCAAATTACAGTCATTCACTTGGATTCCTGAACAGAAAAATTTGTTTTAGTGGTTGAATGTTATGCTTGATTAATTTCTGACTTCTCAGAGAGGTCCAGGGTGCCGGCTCAAATTGGAGCACTGGAGCATATGACAGGTGGACTCGTAAATTTGTTAAGCACTGTATCTGATCAAATATAAGCTTGTACGCATGAAAAAGTGTGGCCATCTACTAAAGAGACTGACTGCCCATCCCCACAGCCCCACAGCTGGCTAAAAATGAATCTAGGTGCAGCTAGCTGAGAGAACACAAAATTGTGGATGACAGCTAGTTTTACGTTGTACTTTAAAAGAAACACATGCATCACTCGTCTACCAAAGTAGCTACATAACTCCGAGGTTGTATTTCTTATTCTCACGTTATATCTGAGCCACTGTTGTCAAGAAAAAAACAACTCCATTAACACACACAGTCAGACTTGGGGACTTTTACAGCTTTTCAGCAAACTTAACATGACTCAAAAGGAACATTTCAGTATAAACCTGACTCAGGGGTTGGTGTGAGTCCCCTCTTTTTCAGAGGGAAGCTTTTACACGCTTCAACATGGCATTAGTGTTTCCTCCAATTAGGAATGGGACTCCTGTTTGGTTGTATGCTGCAGGAAATCACAGCAGAGCACAGCATAAGTATTGTGGTGAGCTTATACATATGTATGATCCAGACAACTCAATAACAGCACAATCACAGAAAGAACAATCAGATTACAGCGCTCGGGAGATAAAGGGAGATAGTGAAGAAAATGTTATTAGTGGAGAAGTGAGATGAGGAGAGGAGAGAGTAAGAAGATCTTGTACATTTTCTAGGAATAGGGAACATTAATCATCTTTAAATTTCATTTGGAGGTTCATATGAGCAAAAAGCAACCCTTAGTTGCTGCGTAGATGGAAGGCCTCCAACCTACCTTAAAGTCCATACAAGAATGAAATGTAGGAATTTGTTCAATGAGGAGATTATCAATGCGGCTGAGACAAAACTGACAGACAAAGCGATGAGACACATCTACAGGCAGGTAGAGAAGGCTGTAGTGAGGGAAAGAAAGACTATGTGATGAGAGGCTTCACACTACCCTATTAAATAAGGTCAGATGAGCTCTACAATTGACTGCTTAAACCTGTTATATTACATGTCACCACAATTAAGATCTCTTTTCATCATTAGGGAAGCTTTAGATCAATGCCAGCACTTCTCCCTCTGCTCCCTCTTTCTTTTGCACTCTCTGTCTATCGGTTATCTGATCCTCCGTCTGCAGTTTGCTCACTCTCACATTCATCCATAACTTCCACACCTTCCTGATAGCAAGAGTATTCAGAGGAAATGAACCATGCTCCCCGGCTCCTCAGCCCACACCCGACTCCCTCTCCTGCCTCCCGCTCTCCCATTCTTCCCCCGAGGACAGA